TTGAACTGACTGAAATGTTATCCGAATTTTAAATACGTCTGCAATTCCACACGTCATGTACACAAATATTATAGTTCGTAAATCACAATTGATTATTATTTTCATTGAAATTACAGTAAATTAAATATTCAAACCGATAATAAGAGAACATAAAAAATGTCACCCTTTGGTGCAATAAACTTGTCGTTTTTGAGTTGTAGTCGTCGTTTTTTTCTACAGCACATATATTTTACTCGTATATAGAGCCAAATTCTGCATCGGAGAGATATGGGGAAGCTGAATTCCCGATAGGCTAATCATCGTGTTCCATACGTATTTTTGGGCCGACACACATACGTCATGATATGTGCACTGCACATACGCAAAATATTGTATAGGTATATTACATATTTTTATGGCTTGACAATGGTTCGGGTGAAATCCTTTCCGATCAAGCGATAAATTCCCGACACGAAATTTTTAGCCGATCTGCGCAATATAATAAATAATAAATAATCCACGTTATACATATAGGTAAAAGGTACACACGACGCGATTAAATTATATATAATAATATGTAAAACACTGCCAAATCTCACCTTTATATATATGCATACGAAATATTGTACTCCCCCAAGCCTACCCATAGCACCCCACTTGGGTTTATCATGATTATATACCATAACCCGGGACGTCACGGACGGATATCCGGCCGAGTATTACAATATGTACAGGTTGTAACAGAAATAATGATAGATAAAGAATTAATTAACTACCTATACTTATCTATGTGAAGTAGATAATAAGTAATAAATATTTTTTTGTAATTATAATTTTTTTTTTTAAATATTTAATTTAGTTATTATACCTATTATAATAGTTATATATTTAAATAAAATGTAATATTGATTATAAATTATAATATATTATAATAAAATATAGAACGATACGAGTTATTTCGGAGTTACTTGTAATCACACATTTATCAGCTATTTTTGTTACACTCTGTATACGCTGAGTGATTCGTGAAGCTCGTCACCTCAATTTTTTTATTTAAATTCTGGTTTTTGGAATCTTTGAATATAATTTTTAAAGGCTTTATTTTAAATTTGTTCGAGATTGTTGTACTACTTAAGAGTTTAGAAGTGTCCTGTAAAAACTTCGGTATTTTAAGTAAAAAAGGAGGATCTCGCATCTGAAAACCGAAGTTTGTATTTCCATATAGGACACTCCTTAAGTATACTTAAGGAGTGTCCTATACTAAAGTATAAAAAAATTTCAATAATATGAAAATATTATAGTCTTTTAGTAAAGGCACCTATATTTAAAAATTTATATAGTATATACGATATATCAGCTGACAGATTTGTGGGTCTATCTAGGAGTTTGGAGTTTGGGGGCCCTACAATGACGTCGTTACAATGCCATAAATAATATGTATCCTCCCTGTCTCACCTAAACTTTTTTGATTGTACATATTGTCTACACAGTATCTAAGTTCTATAGGTATAATACGTTTTAATTCGGTCAATATAATTACTCCGTTACCTATACTACCGACACTTGATGAGCTGCAAATAATGAACTATAGCTCGCGATATTCAGTATATATTTTATCGCGACACATTATAATACACAGAGGCAAAATATTTCGAAACAATTATTTATATCGATCGATTTCTTGGGTATACGGAAATATTGTAAATATATACCTAATATCTGTACATGTGCCGCAGCCGACGGAAATATTTTGTGATTACGGAAACGAACGAACGTCCGTACTCCACCAGTGCAGACTACCGATTGCCAAGTATATACACACCGGAATCACAGAATAAATGAAATTTAATTTATTCTGCACCAGAATACTGCACCAGTAGTAAAGTTGGGGTCGGTTTCGATTAAATCGTTAATTTATTTAAGTCTGTTAATCGAAACGCTGTGCAGCACTGGCATCGGTTATATGAGCGAATATTCAATGTAATCACGATTGGCCGGTGGACCTAACTAATTAGATGATATTATAATGAACGATTAATGGTATCATGTATACATACGGTATTTAGGGTCGGCTGGCGGGCTATATTTTATTGGAAAATAATATTGTTTGGAACGTAAAACTTCGAAAAATATAAATTTTTTTTTTATTTGTATTTATCTTGAACTGTATACATATTACTCATATTAGCTTGGAAACGTTTTTCCTCGGAAAAGTATTTAATCGGAACAGTATGTTCAGAAAGTATTTTGTTGAAAATATACTTTTCATAACCGAATACCATAACCCGATAATATTATCATACATTTCCAACAAAATATTTCCCATGAAAATATACGATTGCAACAAAATATTATTCAGTATATATTATGGTATAATAATAATAATAATATTATGGTAATAGTTCCATCAACATATGTTTCCTACATAATATTTTCCATAAAAATATGTTTCCTATCAAATTCGTTTCTGACATAATAATATATGTCAAACGGATTAAACCAATAATTGTCCAACATTTTATGCGCCCCAGTCGGCACGATATCAACGAGCGTTGAACACTCGTATGGTATACAATGTCAATCGTGAGGGTTCGGTTCTCAGAAAACATAATACTAATATAAGCCTATGTTTACCAATATACTAATTAGTAATTAGCAATTAGTAATTAACAACCATCGTCCAAAGTCTTCGGACGACTGTATAGTAAGCAATAGATCAAAAAAGGATATTTAACGGTCGACTTCTGAGTCTCATTTGAATAAAATTGACGTTTTCTTATCAACAGTTTATTTTTGATGTAGGTACACATTGAAATATTATATACATTGAAATTAAATAATATTTTTTTTTCCCAGCAGACCAACGAATAATATATCATATCGCATTTTCTGTATCTACAAATTTAGTTTTTTTATCGACTGGCATTTTTAAAACGTATATTTTATAGATCATAGATGCAGTACCTATACAGGTAAACAACAGAAGATGTGAAGAATTCACAGACTTAGGTTCAACTATATGGACAAATGTAAGCTCCCACATGAATGACCTTTTCAACAGAAAATAACAAAAACAAACAAAAAAATGGTGTAATCTGTCCTACACCGACTCAAATTGAGATTGTCCCAGAAAGTTCGGCCTTTAGCTAAATAACTCTAATATAAACGATTACTTTTGAACAAATTTTAAAAAGAATAATTTGATAAATTTCAAATAACATTTAGCCAACATAATAATTTGAGTTGTCGTTTTTATAAATAAACTTCAAACACGTTTTGAACGTTTTAATGCGCTGTGTATACGACAAAGGTAAAGACGAACTAAATTATTTTTTTATGCTTTTTGCCTCTTATACTGTTTGTCAATTAAAATTTTAAAATTGTATGTGGAAATTCTTTTTCTTAGTCTATAGCTTAAAAATATCACAAATATGTAGTCACACACTATTTCCAATGATTTAATTTTTGAATAATATGTTACAGTGTATCATAATTACAAAAAATATATTTTTATAAAAACAATATGATTGTCTTTCAGAAATTATTTTTTCTTTCAACTTTTTAATAAAACCTCTTGTATGGGACTTAACATTGTCTCGCCTAAGTTAGGCGGCCTAACAATATATCTTTGTAGGAGATTACCATTTCCCAACTATATATACCTCGTTACTTGTACAAAGTGCCCGAGTATTAAGTCAATTGTTCTCATTAATATTTCTGAAATTTATAATTTTCAAAACGAGATGTATAGTTGTATGCGTTATATTATCTGGTATATCGTTTGTTCTGATAATTGTCTCGGAATATCTAATCAGTAATCAGTATATATTAACTATTAAAAAGGTATATATAAGCAAGTTAGCTAGTAAATATATTATATAATTTATGTATATATATAATGTAGATGCTCAACTATACGTGTGATAATATTATCCTTTTTAATTATTTACACAGTGTTATACTGTTGTAGTTGTGCTTGTATGAGTGTAATATTATGACAAAAGGAGGATTTAGTGTTAAATGGGAAAACATTGAATCGTTTGCAATTTGCATATAACATCATAAAATAACATACCACAGCAATCCAAAACGAACAACTTGCGAGTCCCTGGGTTATCAATATTATATAAGCGGTAAGCCCCCAGCGGCTGCGTTCATATAATGCAATAATTATTAATCGTTGGCTTTGTACTTTGACATATTTTGCATTGATTATAATATCATGTAAAGTTTTAAGTATTTCGTGTGAGAACTTAACACCTAATAATAATAATACTCATGAAGAACTTTGTATTAAATAATTATCAAGCCGTTTTACTCACAACAAAATTATACACATGTTGAAAATAAAAGAAAAAAGGAGAACATGTCTATAATTAGCACAAAATACCCAAAATATTTTGAAAATTATATCACGTCTAGAAAATCCGCGTCCCTACGGTAATTCATTTCTGAATTATCACAAAAAAAATCAAAAATATTTTGTTGAAATAATGTTTTGTAGGTATAAACATTCCCGTTCGACTTTAATTTTGTTTTTCCTGATTGTTTTGAATAGTATTGGGAAATGTTTGCTTTGGACACCTAGCACCCGAAAACAAAATAGAAACCACCAGTTAAAGATTGAAGCATTTTTTCTTTTATAAAAAGTATTTAATCAAAATTAATAGAAAAAAAATATAATTAAAAAAAACACAATATCATTGTAAAATGTAAATCAATACATTCGTCGCTCCACTCCGCATCTACAATTTCAGTTGAGTTCACAACAGATTTAAATTATAATATATTTTTCAATTCTCGTGATAGGATTTGCAAGAGATTTTATGGAATGGGATTAGAGTTTGCGAAACGAATCAAATAATAAATATAAGGATTTCGTGAATCAATTGTGAAACGATTAACTACTCTTTTAACAGATTTAACAATACAATATTGGTATAGCATCCAATCGTTTAAAATCAATTATTATCTTTCTTGATCCGATTACATGTAGGTATATATATTATAGCTTATTCGTGTTAATATTGCCCCGTGTATGCTATAGTTATATAGTTACCTTTATTACCCCGTCCCTTGCTCTTGCACTTTTTCGTGATCTGTCTGGTCTTCTCGCAGTTTGAGTTCTCAGTAGACGGATCCTTGAGCGTGTCCGTCCTGATCATCTCGTTATGCGAGTTACATTGACTCCACGTGCCCTTCACATACCGGCATGCTAAAACAACACACGACCCGATACGTACAACCATATATACATGCATTTAATATTATATTTAAAAGCTTCACTATAATATATATATCATGTGTGTGTGTGTGTGTGTGTGTGTGTGTGTGTGTGTTTACTGGTTAATTGTGGACGTTTGTATAAATTAAATAGATCGATAAAAAGTAGTAGGCCTTACATGTTAAGCCTGGGGTGGATTCGATGACTGCGAAGAGTGTAGCAGTGGCATCATAATTAGACTAGGGCAAACTACTTACGAAACAGATTCATAGCATAGTGCATTGTGGTAAACGTGAGAGGAGATGTGTGGTTAATGTGCGACTTAGGTTGATGTAATACTAGACTGGGCAATGCCTCGGCTGTCCCCCCCAAATGACGCCACTGGTGTGGAGGTAATTTTTAAAATTTATTTATATTGTTTTGATATTTTATGATATTAAGATGGTATTATGAAAATGCTAGGATTGAAATGAACATAATATGATGTCATGATGATAACCATCGCAATTATTGCATTTTCTGCAGGTAAGAATAATATCTGATATACAGATAGGGATGTATCAGCTCGTTTTTAATATTTACAAACGTTATAAAGACTGTAAAAGGATATATTTTATTGAAGAGTGGAGGGGTTGAGCAGAGCCAAAGGTACTATTATATTATGTTGATGATTGTAATTTGGTATCATTGCGTTACGACTTTTCAAAACAAAAATGTAGCACCCACAAAACACTAATTTATAAAGTATAGTGACTTGTCGAGTAGGTATAGGTGGTCGAGGCCGTTTTTAAACGGGAAGAGATTCGTTTGTCGCTGGTCATTCCATAATGGGTTTTTAATAAGATCAAATGATCCTTATCGCCTTTGTGTATGTGTTTACAATATATATTATTATAATATACCGTGCATGTATATTTGACCTGTTTTAAATGAAAAACCTGAATAATCGCATGCCACATTATGTAGTTAGATGCTGTTATAGCTTAAATAAATCTTGGATATAGATCGTACCTTTCTTGCACTTCTTTTCGATCTTCTTGGTCTTCTCGCACGTCTCGTCGCCTTTCTTCAGTGTCAACGTACGTGCCTTCACATTGGTCTTTTCGTCACACGGGGACCACTGTGTTTTTTCGTAGTGACAGTTGGTTTCTGTTCGTGTTAAAATAACTATATATTAATATGACGTTTTGATAATATGATGAAATAATATATCAGGATACTATAGTAATAGGTACTTATTATTAATATTTAATAAAGAAATACTCGCCTTTTCCGCCATTGGCAGCTCTGGCCAAACGGTTTAATGACTGTTCGTTCTGTCCGGTCTCGTTTGAGCTGACCATTGCAATGGCCACTAACAGCAAGCTAACCATCATGATACTTAAGCACTTCATCTGAAAAAAAAATCAAGCAATTCAATAATGCATCGTACAATCTGCACCAAATCGTATAAATCGTTTGTACTTGAACAATAAAAACTGTGTTTTTAATAAAGTAACAACACCAACATTATTAAGTGCATGAAAAAATATTGATAAATTCTAAATTCTAAATTATGTTTTATCTTAAAAGGTGGGTTTAGTACCTAGATGTACGGAAGTTCCTTGAAATGGTGGTTACGATGATTTTTCAGATTCTATTATATTTTAATGTTAATAATATAGTTTTATGGTAGGTACCTATAACCTATATAATATAGTTAAATAGTTTATATTCTATATGACAAGACATAATATGCAATATGCATAAACACAATTTGAAGTTATAGATGCATTAATAAACAATTTATATAAAAAATAAATAATATTTTTTGTTCATTACATAACATTTTAGTGTCATTAATAATATTTATCGAGCAAAGGAATAAGGATTATGCATACTCTTAATAAACATATTTTTTTTTTTACTTCATGAATATTGTAATATTATATAATATATCGAATTCGTAGAATGTTCATAGTTTATAGAGCTATACTGATTTATAACAAATCATTTATTACTTAATTAATTTTCATCATAGATTATGATTATAAACATTGTGTAAAATTACATAAACATTTTACTGAATGACTGCAGTAATACAGTGATTAGCGAGCAGAAAAATACATAGAATGTTTTGTATTATATATTATTGTATTTGGTCAAATATAATAAATTTAACTATAATTGAAGGAAAACACAGACATTCATATAGCCCGACACCACAAGCCCATTTTAAAAAGTTTGAAATAATAAAAAACTGCGAGTGACATTTTGGAAAATATATGTCCTGCAGGGTTCAAGTACTCTTTAGGGAAATAACTCATGCTAAAATAAAGTCTATGTCGAAATAAACATAAAATAGATATTTAAAATGTGTAATAAACGAACACATATTTTTCAGTTAGGAACAAATATTTTAATTCGGTAAACGGTCGGAGCAGATTAAATCGATTCAGTCAATATTTAATATTACAGACGTAAATCGTTATTAAAAACGTTTGATTTAAGTGATAACCAAAAGTAAAAATGAGACGTTGTACAATTTGTACCTGCAGTATAGATGATTTAATTTTATCGGCCAAAATAAGATTTAACCCATTTTCCAATACATTGTGTGTTGTATTGTTATAATACATATACCACTGCAAGGCTTATGTTTATTGTTAAACATTCAATAATACATACACACAATGACGTACAAACACTACAAACACACATAATATGACATGTAGAGATAAACAAATATTTTATTATTATCGTGTTCCGACCGACCGTGTATTTGACGAAAAAATTGAAAACCAAAACAGGCTTACAAGATTTTGCCATAACAAATAAATGTTTTGATTGGTCCTTCACAAAGAGCTGGATTGAAAAATAGGAGAGAAACCATTTATTTTTCGAACGTGATGTAAGTACTAAAAACCCTTTCAGTATATTTTCCCGTTGTTTCCAACAGTCACGTTTACAATGCGGCCCGGCCCCGTACGTATTCCAGCCAGTTTGTCCGTAAACCCTAAACGTGAACATGACACTTTGATCACAGAAATTATAAATTAGTGGTCACTGGTCAGTATAAATGAGTATTATTAGGGTAGTTGTTTGTTATAGCGTCTCGTATTCTTTGTGCACGTCAGAGAACTAGAGCTGAAGTGTGTTACGGACATGGTTAAGTAAAAAAAAAAAAACGTAGTTAAATATAAAGGGGAATAATAATTTATAACGTTGGAATTAATGATTGGTTTGTTTGGTCTGTATTATAGTTGGGTAATAATTGTAAAGCAACAATTATTCTATAGTCGAATCGATGATCAAATTGTTTGATTAATTAGGATGTGAACATGCACAATTTATTGTTATGTCAGTATTTGTTCTATATTTTGTAATTTTATCAGGAATTTGCTCATTTGTTTTTATCATTACTTATTTAATATACCTACCGAACTATTATGTTGATTTTCAACGTATTTAAAAATTAATAAATAATGATTCACACTCAATCATAATATCATGCAAACACAAATAGATGGGTCAAAACAATAAAATGTGATTATAACGTAGGTATCAGATATACGAATAAAAATCAAATATAGTTCATATAAATTTAACTATCATTCAGGTTAGATCGAATACTATATTATAATGTATTGTACACGTTCCGTATAAGCTCCTTCATTTTGCGTATAACATAATAATATAATGTATTATATGCGTATAACTTTTATTACTTGAATAACAATACTGATTGATATAATGATATATAGGTAACCTGCACAAAAGGATAACGGTCATAAGAAGATTGTATAAAGAAATAACACTTATAATTGTATAATAAATAAACAACATAGGTATCTACTGCTATACCGCAGTAATATTACTACGTCGGAAAAGTTTATAGTACCAGCTTTTAAATAAGACCTAACCTACTGTTGTTGTGAAAGAAATAATACGATGCTTATATACGTCGGAGCTTTAACATTCAGAAATTTTGTCATTGTGTAGACGTATGTAAATGTGAAGGTAATGCCTAAGGTTTTAAGGGTCCTGTACACGTAGTCCGCGTTTACGATGTTTTGTAAACTATATATAATAATAATATAATGCCTACGACTTTTGAAAGCTTTGAGGCACGTAGACCCTTAAAAATTGTTGTGCAACCAGAAATCACGGTTCATTATACTCAATTCTTATCTATTCTATTGTGTTTTTCATTTTTCTTGTACTGTTCGCTATAACTTTTATTCGAGTTTTAGGAGTTTACGACGTGTTCGCGAGAATTTTTTCCGCTAAAATCTCATCTCATATTTTTGCGCTGTAAAATCGAACTGCAGAACAAATAAGCGATCGTTGTATGTGTGACTTCCAATACTCTGTTCCATTTCTATATATGCGATCAATTTTAAAACGTACATGGCAAAACTACTGTAAAAGTGCACACTGTAAAATTCGATTGGGTTTTATTAGCGCCAAATATATAGGCAACCATGATTCGATTTACACAGAAAAAAAAAGTGCCGAGAGAGTTCGTTTCAACTGTATAGTAATTGAATTGAATTTAAATGCCATAAAATAACATTGGTGAAATATGTAAATGGTATACACTATCAGAATAAATAGCAGTAAGTTTTTCCTATGGTGGTATTTTATCAATGTGTATAGGTAAAATGTATCAAACAATTTCGAATTCAACTGTATATTTAAATATTTTATGATCCAACTGGTCAAAGTTATATAGGAACCTATTGCGATGTATTGGTTTGTACTCAGCACAAAAGAAAATTATTATCTTAAATCTTAGTGCCAAGTACAATATTGTTATCAGCTGCAATTAAAATGTCGGTTTGTGTTATTGCGGGTTTATCTACAGCAAATACAATTTAGTATTTTCCTTTTGTGTGCATTTGAGTATTATTTTTTCACCGAATAATCAAAACTGATTCTTCTTAAAATTTCAAATGTACATTTTATATACATACAGTTATAATATTATTCATTTATCATCAATCATCATGTTACGTATATGATTTTTTTTTGCAGGTCAATAAACGGGAATTTTTATTGGACATCAGTAAGCTTAAATTACATATATTATATGTATGAAATTGTAATAAATTATACTACTGATTAGTGATTACTGATTTATTCTAAATATTTTGAATTGGATAATGGCCTACCATAAACATAAAAACACCTACAAAAATGTATTATTGTAGTCAGAGTTAAATAGGAAATTTATGAATATGATGTGTAATTATTATTGTGCAACACATTTTTAAGATTTTTAATTAGTTTTTAAAATCAAAATATAAACTATAACTTCAATTGATAAAATACGATCGAATAATATCACACATTATTTAATATTTATAGCTATCAAAACTTCAACTAGATACATTCTGTACTGCTATCATATTATTTAGTTCAATTTAGTATAATAAATTATAGTTTATTAAAATAAATGTTTGTATTGAATTTGAATTATTATTTATTATTATAAAAGAACATTTATCTAAAAATTATTATTATTAATTTTTAAAGAAAAATGTATAATATTATACGTATATTTTAAAATAAACAATGAATTAAAGATGACCTATATGTCTGCAAAAGACTACCTAGTAGTTATAATAATAATGCTGGAACGTATTTTTGAAAATAATTATCACCTACACAAAGATAAACTTCTTGGAAGGTCGGGCAAAAGAGGCGCCCCAAAATATGTGCTGTATAAATCTTTACTAGAACATCCGGTGGATGATTGCCAAGTTTTTGGTTTATTCGCACTGTATATATGTGTTGTGTGTTTGTACGTGTATTATATATATATATATATATAGGCATAATAAGAGTCATCAATTTTATCAGTGGCCTTTGTTGGCTTTTGCGGTGTTAACGACCGGTAAAGACGAAAAGGATGAAGTATTTATGACAGCAATAACCACCTCCTTCCAGAGACACCAGGAGAAAATATATCGTACACCGAATTTATGAGATAAAAAGAGAAAAATCACATTTCCATTATTCAAGAGAACCTATTCATACTGTTGAGTGTTTTTGGCGTTTATGTTTATAATTCTTCCATCTTTGGTATTTTAAAAAATACATTTTAATTCCAATCTAAAAAATTAATATAAATTTTCTACCTAATGGCATTATGAAATTTATGGTATAAATTATATAAAGGTATACTTATAGATATTTGAATATTTCCATACTATGTATATACATTACAAGATCGATACCAAATGGTATAAATTATAAGAATAAACTATTTTTTAGGTTAGGTAGCCTAAAAGAAGATATTATTAGGAAAAACATTTTATTATTTTATTATAATAGTACGTTATATTACGAAATTTATTTTACTTTTTTTTAATTCATACCAAATTACCAAGTCATATATTTAGTTAAATTC